AGAATTCTTAAGACTGCCAATGGTACGCTCGACGCACCCAGTTGCTCGATGGTCGTTTACTGGTGATTTAATGATTTCAATGCCCTCCCCATTACAAAAAGCTTTAATTTCGTTTGACTTGAAACTAGTTCCCTGATCAACGTGAATTTTCCGTGGCACCCCATGGTTTGTTATATAGCTCTTCAAGAATTTCAATATCTTATCTGACCGATTATTTCCACATACCATTGCCGATGGCCAACAAGAAAACCGGTCGACCGCCACTAATACATATTTTCGCGATTCGTTTAAGTAATTAATGGGGCCCCAAAAATCTAATTGGACTGATTCATTTGGTTCTTTTGGTTCCGGTACAGTTCCAAGTTGGTTTTTCTTTATTATCGTTTTTAAATTCTTACCAGCTGCGGTACATTCAGGACACCCATCGGCAATGGAAGCTATTGAGTGGTAAAAATAAAGGTAACAGACATCGTTTGCTGCATCGAACATATTTGATTTTCCGTGGTGATACGCATGGATTCGGTTATTAATTGCTGATTGAAGGTTAATTGGAATTACTAATTTTTCATCCATCCAGACTACATTTTCCTTCACCGAAAAGTCATTAACGAATTGAGCATAATAGCGGTTCATTTCAGTGATTTTTTCGTGGATTTCAGGATCTTGTGTAACAATGAGATCGCGAATAGCGCGCAGCTGGGGGTCAGATACATAATTCGATTCTATGAACTTTAGATTAAACAGATCAGGTAATGAAGTAACTTTGTTAACGATTTTGTAATTCCGAGGGACAATTGACATACATAATAGATTCGGGTCCACGGGTGGTACTGTTTCTCCTTTGAATGCCGAGGGTAACGAGAGAGTTGTGTTAGTGCGAATGGATCTTGTTTTTTTGGTAACGGCCTCTAATGATACATTTTGGGGCAATTCTTCAATTTCGTCGCTACTACTATTCAAACTTGGATGTTGTTTAAGGAATTTCTGCCATTTACGCATGCTGCGATCCATTTTTATTTTGATGTTGAAATTTGAGAATTGGATTTTAATAATTTTAATAATAGCCCCAACTAATCCAGTGCGTATTTCGCGTCGCCGTCGGCTCAAACCACGTGTTTGAATCTGATTGGTTGATTTCCGCTTACATGTTTTTCCGCCCTCTACCGAGTCATTTCGTGACGAAACTTCCAGTCTATTTATAGATTGCTTACTTTCCGCTGTACAAATTGGTCCCTTGGATTTATTGTGTCCCTTGGATGTTATAAAGCCAAGAGCGGTGCGAATTAGGTTGATCTTTGCCACCGTAAACATATTATCATACGTACTAATTGGCGTTGCTTCTCTACTTGGATGACGTGATAAGTAGTCCGCCAATCCAATTTTAGCCCCTGGTTTATGTTCAATTCGAAAATCAAAGGGAATTAGTCGATTTAACCAGCGCGTTAAACGGCTAAACATCGTTTTATTTTTCTTATTATTACCATTCAAAAGGGATATTAGGGCTTTATGATCGGTAACGATCAAAAAACTTCGGCCCAGGATGTAATTTCTAAAGTATTCAGCCCCCCACACAACTGCCAACATCTCCAATTCATTTGTTGAATATTTCTTTTCCGCTTCGTTAAGATATCGCGAGGCAAACGAAATTGGGCGCCACCCTTCTGGTCCTAACTGTTCCAACACCGCGCCGAGCCCGTTGTGGCTTGCATCGCACACTATACGAATATCCTTGTGGATATCAAAATGCCGTAATTCAACAATGTTCAAAACTTGTTTCTTAAAATTTTCGAACGCGTTCTGGCATTCAGGTGTCCAAATATATTCATTACTTTTGCTTAGTAGGGGTCGCAGCGGCGCAGATGATTCGGCCAATGCCGGTAGATACTTGTGCAGACTGTGGATTGACCCCATGAACGATTTTAATTGCGACAAAGTCCGCGGCGGCGTTAGCGCCTCTATTGGTTCTGTTTTCCTAACCAATGGAGTGATTCCAGTCGGGGTTATTTTATGGCCTAGCCATTCGCATTCTCGTTGGGCGAATTTACATTTTGTTAATTTTAGGGACATATTTTCACGATCCAGTTTCTTTAAAATTTTCTCTACCGTCGCTATATGGTCTATCGCAGTTCCCTTGGTTATAACCAAAATATTGTCGATGAAAGCGTGCGCCTGCGGGTATTCGGCGGGTATGCAATCCATTGCGCGTTGGAATTCCGCGGGCATTGTAGTTAGACCATAGAATCCGGTCTTGAACCGGTACGTACCCGTCGAGCGGCCTCCAATGAGAGAAAAATTGCACTGTACGCTCGTTTCAGCGTTTAATGGCAGTTGGCCAAATGCGTATGTTAAATCCATTGTTGTGATATATATGTCTCCCTGTCTTTTCTCACTAATCGTTTGCCCAACTGTGTCCATTAGTTCCTCGATATTCGGCATTTGATATTTATTCTTATGCACTTGTTTATTTAATTCCCTCGATTCGAGTGCCAATTCCACGGACCCATCCTTTTTTACTGTTATTACTATTGGGGACACAAAGTATTTGTCCGAGCATTCTGTTAGTTTTTCGATATGACCCTGTTGCAATAGTTTATCAATTTCAGCATCCACTTTTTCTTGCAACGAAATCGGAACTCGAAGCCCCTTCTGTTGTACTGGGGTGAGGTTTTCAAAAAATTCTGCTTGTACTTTGTAGTTTCTTATTTTTCTGAAATAGGTTTGCCATGAATCCAACTCCCCCTCCGGTTCCAGTGCGTCCTGGTTGCCTTCTTCAATGGACATTATCTGTTCCCCTGGTGATTGTTGCACCAACTGGAGTCCTAATTGGGGCATCAGATCTCTTCCAATTATTGATGGTCGGTTCCCTCCGATTACTTTTATCCTCGCGTGTATCTTCCAGCCGTTTGATTGTATTGTTACCGCCATTGTTCCAATCATCTGTAGTGGATTGTTTCCATAATCCCGAAAAGCATTGTCCTCCTCCGTAAGATTTTCCAATTTTACTCCTGACGTTCCCAAAGTCTTACGCAATTCCCCAATGGTGAAGATCGAAATTGGAGACCCGCTATCGATCCACACTCGAGTGGGTTTCCCATTGACTTTAATCGGCAATTGTGCCCCAGCAACTTTCAATTCTGTGACTCTTTTATGTTTTATCGCCATGACCATATAGTCCCCGTCTGAGCTGCTAGAGTCCCACGAGTGCACCACTGGATTCTTCTTAACCCATCCAATGGAACTTGCATGTTGTGACGCTTCTTCATCCGCCGAGTTTTTCAGATGACCATCGTCAACATTCTCCCGTACCATTCCTACGGCTCCCTGACCCCGCTGGTTTCCACGCTTCCCCCTACAGGTACGTTCGAAATGGCCAATTTTGTGGCAAAAATTGCATGTAACGCCTTTTGCGGGGCATCTGTCCAAATGTTCCCTGGTGAAATTTTGTTGATCGCAGTTATAGCATTTATTGTTATTGGGAAAGTTTCTACCTCTATTCGATCCTCGCCCTTGGTAAGGGCCCCGGCCCCTTGCACGATTGTTCCGATAACCTCCACGGAGTATTCCGACTGGTTCCGATTTTATCTGGATCCCTCCGCCTCCTGACGTTGATCCTTGGGCCCCCACTGATCCA